GACAATCATTTGCCAGATGTCATCAGTGAAAAGAAGATCAAAATAAAAATTAGCTGGATTGTTCTCTGGATTCACAAATCGTCTAGAAGGACCTGGTGCTGGCTCAGTGAATGGTTGGGATGCTGTGTGAATTCCTGCATCTCTAGACCACTGCAATTCTGGATCAGCATTGCGTGGTTGTCTTCTGTTTTGGCGACCACGGCGAGATCCTCGAGGAACCCCCCTGAAGCGCAGTCTTTGCCCTCGTCTTACACGCGCACCTCTTCCTCGACCACGAGTACTTGTAGGACTCACACTACGATCACGTCCGCCATTATCACTGACTTCTTCATTGCTAACATCTGCATGTTTATAAAAAGAAATTCACATAAGAAGACAAAGAAAAACGAAGTGAAATTATTCGTAAATGACAAATATTTTTCTCCAAATGTAAACAAAGAGCACAAACCTACCAGAACCATCGCTATTTTCGATGAATTCACTCTCACTTTCGCTTGAATCGCCATTGTTTTCGCTTTCTGACACATCTGGTAAGTCTTCCTCGCTTTCATCATCGAAATCACTGACTTCTTCATCATTTACAACTCTCTCCAGAACCTCTTCCAAAGTAAAATACCGCGCCGCCATCTTTAAATCGCCAGCAGTATTCACACAAGAAAATATCGAAGAAAAAACTGTGTCTTGCGAACAGGAATTCGCCAGGAACTGACTCGATAAGAGCATAACATTTCAACGTATCCAATAATAAGCTTTTTACTTCAATCCCAGAATGCCAGTTGAAGTGAGCCCACATTTTGAAGACCACGTGTTGAATCGTGCAAATTTGTACGATTGGGTCTTAAAGGGTTAAGATAAACAGCTTTTAAATTAGCGTACCTTTCTGTCTCATTTAGAATCTTTGGGTAACGCGCTGAAGATGTCTCTTTTGTAATAGTGCGGCGCCACCCCTTGAGACTTGCCAAGAGTTCTTCTAATATGGCTTTCACTGTAGTTGGGATTGGTGACAGGTTCAAACGAGAGCCCTTGTTAATAACGAACATTTGAAGAGAATTGAGGTAGCTCTTAAGTGTCTCTGCGGCACGCTTGGTTAGATTAGGCACTACCCAATCTATCCACACCTTACATCCATCCTCCTCGAAGAGCACCATTATATCTTTTCTGGCGGGCTCCATCTCGTTTAATAGCTTCCACACCTGGCAGGAGTGCTGCAGACTAAAACAAAAGGGAAACAAAAGAATGAGTTTTTAGTTCGTTTTAACGTGGCATGATTGGAAATGTAAAGAGATGACCTTATTCTTACCGGTAACCTGCTGCAGGGGTACCAAGGTGCTGAAAGAACGCACAAAGCCATACGTGGGTGCGTTTGGATTGACAGCTGTAAAGTAATCCTGTTCACTCAAGTAAGAGCCCTCAGGTGCAGATTTAGACTCTTGCGAGTCATCCTCTGCACCTGAGTCCAGCGCCGCAGGTGGTGTTTTCACTATTGGGGCCATAGGGGGAAATACTTGAATCAGATTCGAATAACAAGAGTCCTCAGACAACATCACAGCATAAAACAAGCATAAATAATCATCAAACATGAATAGGAGGTCCTCAAGTTCAAATAACAAGGGTCCTCCGACAACATCACAGCATAAAACAAGCATAAATCATCATCAAACATGAATAGGAGGTCCTCAAGTTCGAATAACAAGGGTCCTCTGACAACATCACAGTATAAAACAAGCATAAATCATCATCAAACATGAATAGGAGGTCTTCAAGTTCGAATAACAAGGGTCCTCCAACATGAAAATTTGCACCAAAGGGAATCACGTTAATGGCTCACTGAGTACTTACAGTTATTCTAGTGCGGTAAAAGAAAGGTCTTCACACATAGGCCTTTACCTCAACCCATAATCCTCCAAAGTTGAAAGTCTCAAGTCAAAACTCCAGAGAGATATAAGCAGTTAAAGTCGACCTCGCTTTGGTGTAAATGCCGGGGAAAGCATGGGACCGAACGACCCCGTCCGCCACTGTAGACAAAACTTCAAATGCTCATAACTTTGCAAAAATTTAATCGATTGCAATGAAATTTGGCATGCAAGTAGCCTTTGGCAAGACCTTTGTAAAAAAGTATTAAAATACGCAAACAACTGAAGAAATGCAAAGAAATGCGCGCGTGAAATTTTATACAAATGACGTCATAACTCACTAATGAAGGAACCGACAGAGTTCTAACACACGCCAATTGGTTCCTTACTACATGCACAAACATCATTGAACACTTAAAAGAGGTCCTTGGGTTCAAAAAGAGGACCTCTAGCAACATCATGACTAAATGTGCACCCTTAAAATTCACATGAAGCCTGCACAGAAGCGTCCGCATTTTATGCGAGGAAAATGTTTCAGGAAGGTGCCTGAGCATCTTAGAAACATCATCCAATAGATGAACGGCATCTACACTGTCTTTAAACGGTGCAAAAAACTCAAAAAATGGGAGAAGAAAACGTAGTACTTACCCCTTTGAAGCTTGGCTGGAATGATGTAGTCGACGACCTTCACACCAATATTCATTGCATCTCATTTATCACTTTCACGGGTTTATTATGAATTAACGTAACGGCCTGTTCCCAGTTGGCTTGTTAGCTCAATTGGTAGAGCACTGCACTAGTATCGCAGAGGTCAGTGGTTCAAGTCCTGTACAGGCCTGATTTTTTTCAGGTCTGATTTTCGCTATTGCATAAATAGCGCTATCTACTGTGAGGATCGTACATCATACGTATCTAATACCGCAGTTCAAAAATATATGAACTTCATATATTCATTGCATCTCATTTATCACTTTCACGGGTTTATTACGAATTAACATAAACGGCCTGTTTCCAGTTGGCTTGTTAGCTCAATTGGTAGAGCGCTGCACTAGTATCGTAGAGGTCAGTGGTTCAAGTCCCGTACAGGCCTGATTTTTTTCAGGTCTGATTTTCGCTATTGCATAAATAGCTATTGCATAAATAGCGCTATCTACTGCGAGGATCGCACATCATACGTATCTAATACCGCAGTTCAAAAATATATGAACTTCATATATTCATTGCATCTCATTTATCACTTTCACGGGTTTATTACGAATGAACATAACGGCCTGCCCCCAGTTGGCTTGTTAGCTCAATTGGTAGAGCACTGCACTAGTATCGCAGAGGTCAGTGGTTCGAGTCCTGTACAGGCCTGATTTTTTTCAGGTCTGATTTTCGCTATTGCATAAATAGCGCTATCTACTGTGAGGATCGTACATCATGCGTAAACTACATTCTATTGGTAATCCAGGAGTGTTATTTTCAATTCTTAGCCCTCTCAATTTAGCAAGTTATGATCTTCAAAAGAAGGCTCCCTCTAAAGTTTCAGAAGGTTTAGGTAAACAATGCATATAGGCGTATATTACCTAAAGTCTTGAAATTGACATGATGATAAGTTTATTTCTAGAGGGAATGGAGAGGGACAATTATCGCTCCCTGGGGAATGATGGGAAAACAACTGTAGCGGCCGACACAAGCAAAGCAAAATTTTGAAGACAACTATGAGTTTTGCAAATGAAGACACAGTATGAAGCGAGGATATATTTTACAGACAAGCCTTGAATTGTTTTATTTAACGTAGTCGTGGTAACCAAGTACTTATCGCAAACTGAAATATGAATTTATAAGGAAGAAGCTAAGCTAAATGGGAATAGACAAACCAAGATTCCAACTTTCCGATATAAAGGCAAGATGCAAAGCTAGCTAAAAACTCAAACAAACTCACAAAAAAACTATATATAAGCTCAAGAAAAGGAACATGAGCACTTACATAACAGTCCCGCTTGTAAGAATTGAACCAAAACAAACTTCAATATAAGTTAGGTATTTGGAAGCAGAACGGGAAATCCAAACAGACACTTACTCTAACACAGAAGACTGTAGTCTTACGGCAAACGACAACAACCAAACGATAAACAAAAAAAAACTTCCACTACTCTTCTCTAAAAATCGCACACGTCAACATTAAAAAGGGTCCGTGTGATTTGCTTACGAGATTACTTCGTAACCTAAAAGCACGCGAGTCGCGCGCACAAGTTTGTTAACGTCTATTTAACAGCAGGCAAAAAGCGTGGCAGCTGTTACCAGCCGTGACTAGTTTCAAAACTTATGAATATTTCGCTAAAAAAGGTGTCATTCCCCTGCTGTGTTAATCACCT